GTTCTTCACAAGCTCCACCCGAAGCTGACGAAGATCCCGAGTTTGAACAATTAATGAGGGATATCGATGAAGCTGAAGAAGAACCTGAACAACCCGAGGAGCACGCACAACAATCGACTCAAATGCCTCCATATTTTTAATCCTTTATGGAGACATTTGATTTCCGTTATGCGACAATGGATTCGCGCTTTTCCTCTATAGAGTCTCATTTATCCACAATGGGAGCTCAACAATTAGAGATTCTTCAGGAGATGCGTGCAAACAATGAAGCAACCAATGCTCGTATTAATGAACTAACTCATGAAATGGCTGCTATGCGAGCCCGTTTTCCTCCTACCGATCCGGATGTTTGATTATGTGTTTAGTTTTAAGACTTTGAACAAAAAGAATATTGTTTCAACATTTTGGATATTTTGTGGATTGTTGGATTTTGGATTTATGAATAGTGTGAACTTATATGTTTTATTCATTTTTGCATCATCATTAGCAATATGACCAATTTTGCCATATCACATTATTTATGAATATTGATTTATGAAACTAATGGCTAACCTCTCTTTTGATTGTGATCTTAGCAGCTTAAGCTTATAATTAATAAATCAATTGGCTAAATGATTTCAAAACCTTGTTTTACAATGTCTTTTTGATTTAACAAAAAGGGGGAGAAGAATAAGTGTTAAATGTTTTACTTGATAAATTGAAGAAGTGTTAAAAGTAAGGGGGAGTAATTTCAAAACTTGATTTCAAAAATCTTAAAATTACTAAAATGTTTTGTTATATCAAAAAGGGGGAGATTGTTGAAACATTTTGATATTTCGATATAACAAATTAAGTTAAATGGATTTTAAGATTTTTCAAATGATTTTCTAAGTATATTCGATATAACTATTCGAATATCAAAACATTACTCCAAATATTTCAAAAATCATTTTTAATCCTTACTTAAGTGTAAAATTAAGTTTTAATCATAAAACAATTTCAAAATAATTTTACAAAGTATTTCGAACCAATTCAAAGCCAAAAATTCCAGATTGCTCAGAGGGAATCGATTCCCCCCATAGGAGGAACCGATTCCCCCCTGAATGGTTTGGCTCCGAGATTTCCAGAATTCTCGGAGGGAACCGATTCCCCCATAGGAGGAACCGATTCCCCCCTAAACAGTTTTGTTCCGAGAATTCCAGTATGCTCGGAGGGAACCGATCCCCCCAAGGGGGTACCGATTCCCCCCTTGTACAACGGTCGAAATATTTGAATTTTACACTTAGGAACCGATTCCCTTCAAGGGGGAACCGATTCCCCCCACGCTCCAAGCTGTTTTATTAAATGTTTTCACACTAAAACGGCTATAATATCTTCTCTAATCATCCCCAACGTTCAGAAGTGATCCAAGGTGTATTTAAGCAAGCTTAGAAGCCATTGATCAGTAACAAGAAACATCAAGCAACTAGAATCAAGAGAGAATCAAAGAGAAAGCATCAAACCTCAAGTTTGAGCATTTCAAGCCTATTTTCATTCAATATTCATTTTGCTTTCAAGAACACTTATTGTGCTCAATTGTATTTATTTTTTAGTGTTCTTTTCTTTGTTCTAAGAATTGTGCAAACATCTTACCTTGTGAGGTTTTCTTGTAAGTTTGCAAATTTGTAATCTTCTCTTTGGGAAAAGAGTGTTCTCAAGAATTGGGGTATATTCTTGAGGGAGTTGTAAGGTTATCTCTTTGGCCTCAAAAGAAAGAACAAATTAGTGAATTTGTTGGAAAATCCTTAGTGTGGATAGCTAAGGTAGTGGACGTAGACTTTGATTGAGAAAGTCGAACCACTCTAAATCGCTGTGCAAATCTTTTCAATTTTTTGCAAAAGCTTCCACCAAAATTTTTAATTGCCAATTCACCCCCCTCTTGGCCGATTCCGCCAACACTGATCCACAATAGTTCTGCAATTTACTTTTTAGTCAATTTATAAATTGTATTATATTTTAAGAGTGTGTAAGAATATCATAATATCACGTCATCAAAAAGATGATCAATGAAAAAAATATTAAATTCAAAGATAAAAAATTAATTTATCTCTAATATTAATGTTGACACTCATCAACTATCACTTAGGAGCAATCATTCGGTTGAGTCGAGTTTATTTAAAAAAAATTGAGTTATTCGAATTAACGAGTCTTATTTTATAACTCGGAGTTGATTTAAAATTTTTTTGAGTCGAGTCCGTTTTTCGAATATTTTTCAATTTAATTTTTCGAGTTTTTGTTTAAATTTAATTGTAAATATTTGTAATATTATTATTTTTTATTTCAATTTAAATGGTTTTCTATAACCATATATACAATACAAATATATTTCTTCATATTTTTTTTATATGTAATATACATATATCATAAAAAATTGAAAGATTCGACTCAAACTTGAAAATAAATCTACTAATTACTGAAAATTTTGAGTTATTCGAGTTGTATTTTACACCTTGATTTGAACTTGAATTTTTTTGAGTCAAGTTTATGAAATTGCAACTCGAAATTAATTCGATCGAGTTTTTTCGAGTTGAATCTAGTAAAAAATCATTTTTTTCGAGTTGAATCGAGTTTTGATCACCCTACTATAGGTCTAATGAGATAATGTGTTATTTTTAAGGCAAATTACGAGTTTAGTATATAAACTATCAGTTTTGGTCCGTTTTAATACATAAAATTTTAATGTTTTCAAAACCATACCTAGTGTTTAGTTTTTGCTTTATTTTTGTACCCCGTCGTTAAAAACTTAATGCATTTAGTACTTAAACTATCAATTTAGTTTCGTTTTAGTACCTAAACTTTCATTTTTTTTTCAAAATTTAACGTTAATTTTTAATGGATACTAAAATAAAACAAAAACTAAACTTTAGGTATGGTTTTGAAAAAAATGAAAGTTTAGGTACTAAAACGGACCAAAAATGATAGTTTAGGTACTAAACATGTAATTTACCTAGTATTTTTAATAGTTTAGGGTGATTAAAAGGTAATAAATATTCAGAATTTTTTCTTAGCTAATGACAACATACACTCTTAAACACAACTGCGTGAACCAGGATCTCAAAAGAGAACAACAATCCTTTAACTTTTAAGATCACTTGATGTATTCGATAATGTTCTAGTTCTCTTCAGAAAAAGTTAGGAATTGAAATTTAGATGTTACAAATAAAAAAATTAATTAGAGAAACTCCTGAATAATTAACCTTTACAAGATTAGTTCTAGTTCTAGATTAATCTATCAATAAATAAATATGAATAGTACTATAAAAAATAAAAGGGAAAAGTATCTGACTACAGGGTAATGCTTTGTTGAGTCTTCCGATTATTAAGAGTTACAAAATGGTCCGCCGGCTATAGAGTGTTGCTTTGTTGAGTCCCTCAACTATTAAAAGTTACAAAATGGTCATCCGACTATTCATTATATTCCAAACTCATCATTTTTCGTTAAAAATTGATGATGTTTGAGCTTAACGTTAACATGTTGACTGTAATTTAAGAATCTCAAACAACTATCATATCGCAGTCACCATGTTAACATCCAGCTCAAACGACAGTCAATTTTTCTAACGGAAATGGACGAGTTTGGAACATAATGAACAGTCGGATGATCATTTTGTAACTTTTAATATTCGAGAGACTAACAAAACAACACCCTATAGTTAGAGGACCATTTTTTACCTTTTAATAGTAGAGGGACTCAACAAAACATCACCCCATAGTCGGGGGAAGATTTTTGTACTTCATCCAAAAAATTAAATTAAAATCTACATTCAAATGTACCCTTTTCTTTTGTTTTTACTACATGAATCTCAAAACCCAAAGTCCATGAGAAGTAAAGTCATAGATTCTCTAGCCCCCCGAAACTTGAAACAAATAATAGTATACAAATATCAGCTTTCTTATTATATGAAAGTACCACTCATTTTCCACGCTTTGGTACAATGATTTCCGATGCAATGTTCAACGTTTCGACCACGGTGTCGTTTTCCCATATGCTCTGTCTGCTTCGCCTCCATAATCTCTAAAACGACGCCGACATTAATTAAACTAATTGTTTAAGCCACATTATGTTCAAATCTCTGCACAATTATTCACATCCCACCTCGCACGTACTCTCCTAATTAATTGTGATTTTTTTAAACAACATAGTTTTAACGCCGTTAACTATTTAACGGTGGAGTGACCAAAATATGAGAAGAATAAAATTCAGTGATCAAAAAACCTAATGTATTAAGTTTAGCGAGAAAATTGAAATTTTTTAAAATTTTAATGGCGAAATTTGGTAATTTACCCTTAAAAGAATTTGAGATTTCTATTTCTATATTTGAATTTAATATAATTTAATTCTCTAAATAACAAACCTTAATGAATATAGTAAAAATAAGAATACTCTTCTTACTCGGTATGTTGATAGAGTTCATTTTCCGAAAATGTTATTGAATTATGTTTAAATGATCAATTTTGTTATTGAAGTTTTAAAAATTATAAAATGAGTATTGGGTTTTTGAAATGTACCAAAATAATTATTATGATTTTTAATAAGTTTAGCGGACGTTTTATAAAAACTCGATAAAAAAATCCATTCAAATAAAAAAGAATGAATTGCAATCGGCCGATATAAATATGTTTGTTCCGTCAAACTTTATTTAAAAACTTTTCATATGTAATGGGTAAGGGGGAGATACGATAGTAGGCTGCCCCCAACGCCAGGTTGAGAGCAACTTTCGTAGGAGACATCTGGCAGTTAGAATTATGAATTGCCCACCGTGAGACTCGATCCCACAACCACAAGATTAAGAGCCTTGCACTCTTACGAACTGAGCTGGACGGACAATTCAAGTTTTTAACTATAACAATTTAACAATATTAATAAGTTTGACTATGTAAGTAGATTATGTTAAAATAAATTATAGGAGTAAATTTAATATTTAAATATAATAAAAGGATCAAAATCATAATTTGACCATTAATTTTGTAATCACACGGCCATTAACAATAAACATAAAGTAAACAAATAATTAATCGAATTATTAGTAATTTAGTAGTGTTATTTAAAACACTATACTAGCACTATGCACTCTTCTGCTTTTCCCTTTTGGTCTAGAACCGTTGAGATACGGACATGTGGCGACGTTTAACGATGGAGATCAAGCCACCTAACGGTGGCCTCATCATCGACCGATAAATCATCTCATCGTACGGCCTCCGGTAGAATTTCAAAAACGGCAAGAACGATTCTCGAGACCTTTCCGCCTTGCCGCTGACGTGGACTTCCCGTCGAAAGAACATCGCCGGAGATTGCAGGAAAGACGGCCGTGGGGTCCGCGGAAGTGCGACCTTGACGGGCTCGAAGGCTTTGCTACGCTGCGGCAAGGGTGTGGACGGGAACAGGCTCTTCCTCATGCTGATGTTGCCGCGCGACGTCACGGAGGCCGGAGATGCGAACGAGAGTGACCGGGCGTTGAGCGGCGAGATCAAAGCCGGGCCCAGCGGGAAGGGGCTGGCAGTGGGGCCGACTTTGGACGATGACGTGTCGGACGTTAAGGTGAGGTACCAGGGTTTGAGGGAGTCGTAATGGTGGGACACGGTGAAGGAGAAACGGGACGACGAGCAAGAGCCGATCTTGGCCGTGGATTTGATCGACGGTGGATCGAACCGCAGAGATGATGCTCTCGGGTATGCCGTGAAATCGTTAAACTCCAGTGATTCCTCGTAGTTTAGAGATGAAACCACCATCGTAGCCGTCGATAACTCCAAAAATGGACGAACACCCTGCAAAGTGATTAAAAAATGTTAAGTTTCAGTTCTAGTCCATTCAAAAAAGGTTAAATTTTGATTTTAGTCCCTCTAACCTTCCAAAGATACGAAAACAAGGAAGGAGGGTCGATGACAAAAGCCTTGTAAAGCCGTCCGGGGTAGTACTCGCCCACAATTTTCAATGCAGCCAGCAACAGGTTCATGAAAGCAGCTGCCGATCTGAAAAAGCCTGTGGCCAAAACCATATATTATAATCCAATAAATTTCAATTTACTCTGACTTTTGCAGAGGATAATAAGATTAAAGCTTATCATTTTGTAGGGATTAAGGGAGAAAAAAAAACATTAAAAGTCCTGATCTTTACTGTTAGAAAACTGACCAATTGTCTTACACACTGTTCAATTCCCGATAACACCCCAGCAATCTCGTGAATAAACTGAGATTCCAGTGCGACAATTGAAGGGGCACTCCGGACATTATCTGAGGTTGTCCCAGAAACAGCGGGTTATGCCCATCATGGGTTTTTACTAGTTTTGGCTCCCACATTTATAGCGTTATAGGACGACAAAGAACTCGGAAAGATTAAATAATGTCTCGAGTTTGAATTTTGATGTCGAGCGGAAACTTACTTGCATCAAAGAGTAGAATGAATTGTTCGATGTTTTTGGGCATGGTAGATATGGCAACTTCCAATGTGAAAACTAGTAGACGAGTAAATCTAAGAAACCACGACGAAACAAAAAGTAAATAAATTTCGAGTATATCGAAACCTAACTTAGTTATGTTAACATGTAAAACTCACATCTTTTGAGAGTGGAACTTTTGGTAATCTTGTTTCATCCTCAAGACCTGTGGGGAAAGTTGATAAAAGATTCAATTTTTATCCTTAAAATTACATGTATTAATTGGTAATAACAAGTTAAAAAGGGAAAATTACCATGACAGGCCTGGACTCTTCATCATGCCCGGCTGTATATGCAACTCCCTCAGCTATCTCCGTCGAGAACTCATCTGCTATCAAATTTTCTGCATTTTCCCAAACAAAAATAAATAAATAAATAAAGGAAGAAAGAAAGAAAAGAAAAGAAAAACCTTTAAATATTTAATATAATTATTAATTAGTGATTTTAATATTGTTTTTAGCCCACTTTAATGGACTCCAAGTGGCAGTAATCATATGGGAGCACAAATAAACTTTTTTTTTTAAAGTTTCAAAATTGAAAGAAAAAAAAAGATTCTTTGTTTATATAAAACAAAAACAAAAAGTTTGTGTCTTGCGGGCCGAAAATTAGTGGTAAGAGAGAGAGAGAGAGAGAGAGAGAGAGAGAGAGAGAGAGAGAGAGAGAGAGAGAGAGAGAGAGAGAGAGAGGGAGAGGGAGGGAGAGAGAGGTTTATTATCGTTATAATCTCGTACCAGTGCCGATACTCTCTCTCCAAGCAAGACAAGCACGTAAATGCTTAGCAGCTTTCTTCACATTATCACCTTTGGCTCTTAGAAACCTCTCGACGCAACCATTACTGCAGAATTTCTCCTGTTTCCATGAATCAAAAACACTTTTTTTATGAAACTGAGAGAAACCCATCACTTTAATCATCTTGTTTAGACGGAAAACAGCTGAAAATCCGGTGATAATCGAAAGAGAAAGGAAATGGAAAAGGGTTCTACCTGTTTGGGTGTTAATGGGGACTGTTTCTTAACGAGTTGAAGAACGGTCTGAACTCTTTGGTTCGTTTTCTCTTCCGTCGACTGATCTTTCTTGCCCATTTTCCGAGAAAAACCAGAGCAGGAAACTGGAAGTTTACTCAAAGCTCGGGTGCTTTTATCGTTTCTGGTAACACAAAACACCGATATTCCAAGCTTTTGCTTCACGCAACCATTAAATTAAGCTCGGGGAGTAAAAGAGATGGATTTTAAAAAAGAAAAAGGATAGAGAAAGAGTGGGAGGGAAAGAGATGTTCAAAACTAGAAAACGTTGAATAATGAGAGCAAGGGGATGGTTATATATATATACAGCCATGGTGACGGCTGGTAACGCCGTTATAATATGAACAAAGAAACAATATAGTGTTCAAGGATAAATTTGGTTTTGGTCCCTCCACTATATTGGAATTCGAAATTTAGTTTTATATTTTAATTTGACATAATTTGATTCACTTACTTTTTATGATGGATTTTCTTAGTACCAAAATTGAAATAAGGAGTGGGTGGGCAGAGCCGTCCCAGACATTTTCGAGGCCCCAGACATTTTCGAGGCTCTGAGCGAAAACTCAAAAATATGACTTTATAAAATGAAAGTATATTTTATTACTTTGAACATTAATTCAATATTACATAAATAAATCATATAAAAATGATTAAACTTTGTGCAAATATATTGTTTTTATTATTTTATTAAGAAAACACCTTAAATACAATTAAAAGAGAATAAATATAAAAAAAATAAAGAATGTTTGATAAATTGAAGAGCAAGATTTTTTTTTTTTAAAAAAAGAAAAACATTATTAGATTTAATTTAAAAATAAATGTATAAATACGAGAAATGGAAAATAGGGTCAAAAACTAAATATTTTATTAAATTATAAATATAAAAATTAGTTAAATTTAATTCAAAATTAGATAATTAATAAGAGAAATGAAAAAAGATGGCTAAAAACTAAAAATTTTAGGAAATTATAAAATTTAGGGCCCTAATTGAAAATAAAAAATGAGGACCCTAATTATAAATAAAAAAAATTAAGGGCCCTAAGCGATTGATCAGGGTGCTCCCCCGTTAGAGTTGACCCTAGGAGTGAGATGGGATAAGGTACAAGATCTCTTAAGTAAGGTCAACAGTTTAAATTTTGATATTGTAAATGAAGCAAATTAGGTTGAGAGAATTATCCCATAACATGTTTCTAGAAAATTTAATTTGGATTAGTGTATCAATAGATCGGATATCAATAGTTAAAAAAATTAAATTAATTAATTAATTTCATTAAAGCATTGGAATGAATTTTTCATAAAAGCTTTGAAATAATGATAAATTTTGTACATGTACTTTTATAAAATATCCAATATAATATCTATCTTTTAAAAATATTTAATGTGATACTTGTACTATGAAAATATCTAATATAATACATGTACTTTTAAAAGATTTAATATGATACTTACACTTTAATAAAATGTATAATATAATACTTTTACTATCATTTCATGCAACCTTATGGTACTTAAGGTTAACAATTTTGATAACTAATAGCATCATAAAAAGGACCAAATTGATTTAAAAATAATAATAAGGACTTTGTATAAAAAAACCAAACTAGAATTTCCCCTATTTTCGGAAGCAAGGTTCAACGTCATCGGTCCTTTATTCTATTGAGTCAATGAAAAAAATACACTAATTTTGTGGAGGCTTAATACAAAAATATTTTTTTGCTAAAAGTATATGTCTAACTTTTTTTTAGTTATATTTTTAGTTTCTTACCGTTATTTATATATATATATTAAAGTTTTTTAATTTTTTAATAATAAAAATATTATTTTTATAAAATAAAAAGAAAATGATAAAAAACTTAATTTATTTATAAAAAACCTAATTTTTATTGAAATTATGAAGAAAAAAACCCTAAAAAAACTAAAATTTCTCACTTCAACCTCATTATCAACTGTCACCGGCCATCTTCGACCATCATCATCATTGCTAAACAATTGAGTTTTGATTGGAATTGCATGGTGGCTCGAATGGTGGTAGCGATGTGGCTTACGGACGTCGAAATTGGTCGGAATTGACGAAGAGCAATGACGGTCCGACGAACCTTTGAACGATTCTCCACGACAAGCAATGCCAGATTAGATGAAAGGCCAACGAGGTTTGATCGGGGTTGATGCCTATGTTGATTACGGTGGCAGTGACAATCATAACTGACTGGCCGACGACTATGGAAGGTGGAAGGTGGGAGGGGAGGGCTGTTTTTTGGGGGGTTTTATATTTTTAAAATTTTCAAATAAATTCTCAAATTATCAGAATGTAACACGTGTCACTTAACAAAGATTTTAACAACGGTTAACGATCGGACACCTAAAAATATAAAGTTTAAACATTAGACACCAATTTGTTGTGAAAAGTTCTTCTGGCACTAAAACATTTTTCGAGGTAAAATTTGATCACTTATTTTTGTAATAGCTGTTTTTGTGGACTGAGATTTGGGGTTTTATAACGGAAACCGTCGTGCACCCCCACACCACACCACCATCGTGTAGCCCACACCAACCGTTACATTGTTGCTTTGCTCTTTAATTATGGTGTTTTAACTTTAAAATAAAGGAGAAGATAAAATGGCATTTAATGGCACCATATCTTCAATTTCAGGTACCCATTACCGCTTGCACAAAGCTTCATTTATGGGAAGTGGACTCTATTGTGAGAAAGGCTGCCATTTTTAACTGTAACAAAGGTCCTCCACCCCCATTGAAAATAAAAGGTGGACCTCTAGCTGTTATTATTACCATATTTATCTACATGATCATCACATTGTCCCCATCCCAACCCTAAATATATGCATATGTACATATGACTTACAAGCAAGGGCGGAGCTATGATCAAATGCTAAGAGAGCAAAATAGTTTTTATATAAATAATAATAATTTATTAAGTATTTAAATCTAAAAATTCGGAGGGACAAAGGCCTTATTTCACTAATATTTAAATTAAAAGGATCTAAGATGCTATTACACCATAAAACTTGCCCCTTCCAAGCGTCATGCAGATTCTTCCCTGTTTACACTGTATGCATCCTTCAAGTGGTAAATATGAAGTGAGTTTTGAATTTAAATTTCGATCTGATTATAAAAAAATTAGCATGCATGTATGTATGGTTCAAAAGTGCATATAGCTCAAGTTGTAATTATGAAGTGACATTTTTTCTGTTCAAAAGTGTTTAAATAAGGAATTTAGAGGGTTGGAAAGCCGTAATCTTTCGACGCGACCTCTGATAGGTCAACGTAATCTACTAGAGTTAAATATATTGTCATTCGATCATATCCACTTAGTTTTTTAACCTACATATAGTCATAATTATCTCATGTCTAACACCAACATTAAGTATAACTGTAAAATCTCTCGACCAATAACGAGAGATGGATCTCGACTCTCCCTCCTCTTCTACCTTCTAATAGGGATAAAAGACCTAAACATCAATCAACTGTTGTTCTTCTCGTCGACTACGATTCTCTTCTCGAATAAGAGAAGATGAATCACCTATAATCATCGTGACACATTTATTCTTATGCATCAACGGTAACAGAAACCTTCGTAGTATCATCTCAACTTTTACCCGAAATTTCATGTGCTCATTATAAGCCATGAAGGCCAAAGATATGAAGAGTCTAAGGATGGGGAGTAAGGGAGACCCGTGAACGGATATTTCTGGATATAATGTCGTGATGACACTTATGAAGGTAACGAGAAACATGTATTCCCCCTTGCCCCCATGATTTAACTGTTCATTTCCCCTTCCTTCTTGCAACATTGTCTACATAGTACTCGTACCCTTCTTTTCCTTTTATTCAATTGTGCCATGGATGTTGCAGAAATTAAAATGTTTTTTTGCCTTTCTTATTTCAAATTCCTTCCATTTTAGTCCTTTCGGATTCGGTCCATAAAACTATTGTACAAGTCTCCACGTTATACGGTACAAGAATCCTATGCATTACAAAGACATGAAAAATTGTCATCTCGGTTGAAAAAAGAACTGTTAATTTCGTGACGTGCATTTAAAAGAAACTGATGTGACGTTAGTTTAAAACATGATGTAATATTTTGAAGTAACGCAGTAAATTCGATTTATCATTTTAGTTCTTATCGTTTTTTGTATCAATTTAGCCATTGAAGTTGTCTATGATGTTCATCCTAGCTCTCGAAGTTTGTTTTGACTAACATAACTATTAGTCTTCTACATTTTTCATCACCAACAATTTTCAGATCAACCAAATATTACTAACGTGGCTTGATGATGATGTGACATTTATTAAAAATAAATAATAAAATATTTAAAATATTTACTAAATACAACAGTTAGAAAAAAATCCTCAAAAATTTGATCTAATCCCTTAATATCACTGAAATAAATAATAAAATTTTGAAAAATTTATTCTAACCAGTGTGTTTAGTAAATATTTTAACCTAATCCTTTAATCCACATACACAGCAGATTCACATTTTTCTTAGTAAAAAAAGTCAATGAACTTCGAGAGCTAAATTGATGCAAAAAAAATGATAGGGACAAAAATGAAAAACTGAGTTTACTATAGGGAAAACAATGACCCTTTAGCCTTGTTAAAATAGATAGTTAAAAGTTTTCAGTTGATATCTATCCTTTCCTATAAATTATGGTTTCAATACTTAATTAGGAATAAAATCCCTCTTCCATCTACCTTAGGTAGGAATGGACATGGGACCCGATCGAGTCGAGTTGAGTTTTTTTTTAATTTCGGTTTCGGGCTTTTTTAAAGGTGATGTTCGGGTCGAGTTAGATTCGGGTTTAAGGTGAAAAATACCTGACTCAAAAAATATAATTTTACCTTATATATTTAGGAATAATTATAATAATACCACTCTATATATTATTTTTTCAATTAAATCACTAATTTTATTGAATAAAAATAATATTTTTTATTATTTCGGGTTAGGTCAGATCGGGTTCGAATTTTATCTCAAAAAGTCAGGTCGGGTGAAGGGTATATATTTTTCGGGTGAGGTCGGGTCGGGTCAGGAGAATGATGTAAAATTTTCCGGTCGGGTTTGGTCGGCCGAAACCCAACCCATGCCCATCTCTAACCCTAGGTAGGAATTATTCAACAAAAAAAATTAAACCGTTACATTTAATTGATAAGTATGATAGAAATTTGATAAGCTACTGATAATTTCAGAGATAGATCGAGGGGAGTACGGAGTGAAAATTATCATATATTATAT